CCTTTGTGATTATCCTATGTTTCTATTGCACCAACAAAATTGACAAATTATATATCACTTTGTTATGATTTGACTCGACAATACCTTATAATTCTGTGGTTTAAGAAATTTTGAATGGTCCCTTGAGATTTATTAAATTTCAACTAGTAATGATGTTAAAATTTTCATATAAAAAGATATTAACACTCTTTATTTTATTTTTAAAAAAATTCTTTTAGTAATTTTCTTTTTGAAATTTCTGTCCACGTTAAAAAAATCAACTTAATGTATAGAAACGAAGAGAGTGAGAGAGAGAGTGTGTGTGTGTGTGTTTTTTTTTTAGAGATAACGATTAGGATTAGATCCAATCCTTATCCCCTCCGAGCAAATTCCCACTTGATCAGTGATACTAGATTAGTGATAAATCAATTTTGTATTTGTCTTGGAAGTTGTAAACCCAAATATAGGTTGTCAAGCAAGTAGTAATTCTTAGTGGAGTCCAAGGTCGGTTCACAGGGAGATGGGAATTTCGGAGTGTGAAAATGATTAATAAAAAAAAATATATGTTGTGTGTTTGAGAGAGTGTGATTTGATAATTGAACTTTAAAACAAATAAACTACAATTGCTTAGGTAAAACGATTCAGTGAAAACTATAAGACATTGGATACTATTTCAATAACACTTGGATAACAAATTAATCATAATTTCTAATTTTAATTGGAAAATAACTAGGGAGTAAACCTATTTGGAGGATTTGACAATAATTAATTAGGAAATTCTCTAGAGTATAATCAATGAGTTAATCTAAATGAATCAAACATTCAATAGTTAATTACAAGCATTTAACATGCCCGTAGTTAATAATAAATCCAACAATTAACAAATCAAACATAAAAATTCATAAAAGCTAACAAATCAATTAATTAAATGAAAATTCTAACAATTCAACCCAAACATGGGCATCTAGCTATTCAACTTATAGGGAATCTCAAGCATCCATCACAATTAGCATAATAATTCAAGAGATTATATAAAAAGAAAAATTTACTAACATAAAAGGGGTTGAATTAATAAAGTAATCATCAAATGAAGAACATAGGATTAATTTACATACCAAATGAAATGAAACCTCCCCTACCCTTAGTATAAGAGATTATGTGTCGAGCCTTTGCTACCACCCTTAAGGGAAGAATGAGGCATTGTTTAACAAATCAAAGCCAAATTTAATTGACACCTTTGGGGAGATGAACACCTCCTTTATCTCACACTTCATTGGAGGACGAGCACACAAATGACCTCCGACGTACCTCCTCAACGTTAAACAATTCCAGAGTGAGAATCTTCGAGAATATGTGAATCGTTTCACGAAGGAATCTCTCCAGTTTACAACTATATGATAAGGTAGCTTTGATTGCCTTCATAGGGGCGTTGCATTCCTCTCAATTCCTCTTCTCTCTCACTCCAAGGAGCCATCTTCTTCCATGGTCGTGCTCCTGGCAAGAGCTTAATGTTACATGAATGCCGAAGACATTCTTCTAGCTCGAAGGAGTCAAGAGGATAGGCGGTAAGATCAGAAGGATGATAAAAAGAGGCGAGATCCTCCAAGCAGAAAAGAAAGGGCCAGTAGCCCTAAAAAGAATCACACGAAGAATCGCACAAAGAGGTTTAGTACGAGGGACTGATTGGGACAGCGCATCCCCAACGAAACAACACAGAGGTATACCCCCATAAATACCTCGATAGAACATATTTTATTTCAGATATAGGATGATAGAGTTCTCCGATAGCTAGGGAAGATGAAGACTCATTCTAACAGAAGGTCCCAAGATAAGTATTGTTGCTTCTATCAGGATCACGACCATAATACGGATAATTGTCAAATTTTGAAGGATCAGATTAAGGACTTGATCCAGAAGACCCATTTGGGCAGGTATATAGAGCGCATGTGCCAAGAAAGAAATGAAGCTCAACCTCATCCGGATGAGCTATAACACCAACAGCCTGTTGGAGAAGTCTATATTATCTTAGAAGTCTATATTATCTTATATATTACCAAATATCGAAGCATTGTCGGAGCCCTTCAATATGCGACCATTATCAGACCGGACCTCTTGTACTCAATTAACATGGTCTGCCAATATATGCACTGCCAAGTAATTATCATTGGACATCCATCAAATGGATCCCTCGGTATCTCAAAACAATTATAGATGTTTATCTTCCAATTTAATGACACTCCTCATATTCTATATCGGCATTTCTTACGTTGATTGACATGGCTGTCTTGATGGCTGAAAATCAACCAGTGGTTTTGCCATTTTCCTTGGTCCAAATCTTGTATCATGGTCCTCCCGCAAACAACATGTCGTTGCACGTTCAAGTACCGAAGCAGTGTATCATGCATTGGCAGATGCAACCTTTGAAATCTTGCGGCTCCAATCTTCAGGGCTGGCCCAACAGTGTAAACGAAAAAACGGGGCTTTAGGCCCCATATTTTTTAATGTACAGTATAATTCTGTCTAAATTTTTAAATATATAACAATATAAACTCCATAAAAAGTTTCAATAAAGTATACACCTGATAACTAAATTTTAGATTCAATAGTTGGGCTCAAAAATACAAGCCACACATTTCGTTGTAACGATCAAAACTCAGTAAAACAAAAATTGTAAAAGCAAAAGTCTCATCTCTCTCTCTCTCTCTCACACACACACACACACATACTCTCTCTTAGATCTCCAATTAAAACAAATAAAATTCTTTCTCCCTCTCACACATGCACAACTTTTTATCTTAAATCATATATAAAATCAAACTCACATAATATAACCTATTTATTTTTATAAACTTTGATTTAGAAAGAACTAAAATATCAAATTTTAATGTTACAAATAACTATGATAAATTAAACTATATTATTTTTATATTTTTTCTGTAATTTTAAGCTCATGTTATATTCTGTAATTATAAATACCATATGGTTATTTAGAACTAATTTGTTGATTATTTATTATAAATCTGGTAACTAGAAAATAACCATCTGGATGTGAAAAATCTTTCTAAAAAATGAGATAATTTTAAAATAATTAAATCTTAAAATAATCACTTTATTCCTACTACCAAACAACACGTCATAGAAAAATAGGTTAAAGTCATGCAAATAAACAATTAATAGATCCAAAAGAATAAGAAATAATAAAATAATACAAAAAAATAATTAAAAAAAATATTCACGATAAGAGTTAAACATGCAAAACAAATCCTGGATTCAAAACATACAAAAAAATGAAAAAATGTTAGTAACAAAAATTTTAAAATTAATAAAGTCTTACTTAAGGTTGACCATATCACAAGAAAGAATGAGAGAATTAGAAATACAGACAATTTTAAAAAGGTCTCATTTACAAATGTCGCTTTAGGCCTCAAGTTTTCTTATGTCACCCATGTCAATCTTTATTCACTGAACTTCATGTGTTCCCAACCAGAGCGACCTATATTGTGGTGTAATAATGTTGTTACAACTTTTCTTACAGCCAATCCGATATTCCACGACCGAATGAAGCACGTCGAAATCGCGTTCCATTTTTGTACACGATAATGTTGATAAGGGCAACCTTCAAGTGAAGTTTCTCTCCGGATCAAATAGTTGATTTTCTCATAAAACCTCTTCCCACTCCAAGATTTCAGCTACTTCGGGATAACCTCAACCTCCTCCAATGGAAGCCTTTGGTTGTGGGGGGCGTATTAGAGATAAGGATTAAAATTATATCTACTCCTTATCTTTGAGCAACTTCCCACCTGATCGGTGATACTAGATAAGTGACAAATCAAATTTGTATTCATTTTTTTGTACTCATTACACAATATATATTAGGCTCGTGTAACTCTAACGATTAAGGAGACATAAAGAGTGTGTTTGGTGACAACTCAAAAATCTATTATGTAGAAGCAGACACTTCTCAAAGAGATAAAATTGTTTGGTGTTCAAAAAAATTTGGACTTATCAAAAAGAGCATCTTCAAGATGCTTATTCTAGAAAAGTCTTTTAGGGAGCTTCTCAAAACTATTCTATTTGCATTTCTCGGGAAGTGATTTTTAATTTCACCTTACTTTCTAAATTTAGTATTAATTTTTATAATTAAATATTTGTTTTAGCCCTTCTTCATAGATAATTTACTTATCTCAGATTATAAAATAGAAAACAAAAATATATGTATTGTATTAGAACATTAGTTGTAGATAGACATGACTACTTAGTTAAAAATAAAAATTGTTTCAAAAATACTTCTAAAACATACTTTTATCAAACAACTTAATTTTTGAAAAAGTCAAATCTTAAAAAGTCATTTTTAAAATTCCATCTTAACGAAGGATTATTACTTTAAGAAGTTACGTCAAATGCAACCAAACTCTTATGAAGGTCTCATAGAGGGAAGAGAGAGCGATTTACTTGCTAGAGAGGGAAAAAAGCAAAATAAAATCTAATATGTTATTTAATAAAAGTTATTTTGACTTGTTGCTTTATTAGAAATATCAAATTGTAATCTTTGGTTATTAATGATAACGGGATTTCTAATGATTTCAATTTGGTCCAAAAAGATAAAGAATTATATGTAAAATTTTGAAATATACAAAAATAATTAATATCTAGAAAATTATTTCTTCTTTCCCCCTCATGAGAAAGACGGCACACCTTCAATATTCATACTATCTTAAATTTTTTTTTTTAACATAATATAAACTTAACATAAAATTTACGAATTAGAATTACTTATTTTTTATATCAATATACCATGAATTCTGTGATTTTGATAAGATAAATTCATTTAGTTGGTATTATATGAATAATAATTTAAACTTTTTTTCGGTTTTCTTCATTTCTTGATCAGGTAATCGTTGAATATTTTTAAAATTTTGGGAAATTTTAATTTAATTTATTTTTTAATTAATATAAGCCGTACATAACCCAATGCCTATCCTTATCTGATAAAACCCATAAACCCCGAAGTCATCAGAGTAACTCATCTTCTGCTAGTGCAACCATGTCCCTTTCCTCCAAACTCATCATCCCTCTCCACCTCTGCTTCCCAAATTCTTACCCCAACCGCAAACTCCCATTTTATAGTCTCAAACCCTCTTTCTCTCCTCTAAAAATCTTCACAATCCGATGCGCCAAGCGGACGAAAAGGACAGGAAAATTGAGATACCCATCAGAGAAAAAAAGCTCAAACTGAAGCAACAACCCGAGATTGGTGTTGAAGACAAATTTCATGGCTTTTGGAGGTTGTCTAAGCTTGCAGTTTCAGCGCAAAAAGACCCTGGTAAAGATTTCCTTGGTGTTTCAGAGGCTTTGCTTGAAGAAATTGCCAAAGTTCTTGAGTTTCCGGTAATTATCCCCCAATCTCCCTTTTGTTTCGTTGAAAAATTGAACGAAAAAGAGATATGGGTTTAGCTTTTTGTATTTGGGTTAGGGTAAGTTGAGTCATGAGTGAGGTTTTTTTTTCTCAAGTACTGCAGTCATTGAATATTTTTTTTTCATTTTCTAGGCACTTTGAATTAAACTATTGTCGACGTTTCTATTCTACGAATTTATAGTTTCTTCTTTGTTGCACAGGTTGCCTCCATGTTGCCGCCAGAGGCATTCTCAGTCGTTAGGAAATCTTTTGATGCGAGGAAGGTTAGTTCAATTTAAGGCAATTGTGATGAGCATTTTTTCTTCCAAATGTATTGAGTAATGATATGGTTGTAGTTTCCTATTTTTTTTTTTAAATAGGTTCAAAGAAAATTTAGTTAGGTTTAGCTACAGAAGAAAATACTTATTTTCTTGATATTTAACATATGTATTTTCAGTGTAAAAGTTTTTACGACCTTGGTTAAACCCTTGTAGAAATACTGCAAAACCTTAATCCAAATTCCACCACAATCAGTTTCTGGACTACATTATTGATCCATTCAATTTTGGAATTATTTTTTAGTTCTGTGTGGTGCCAGTAATCATTATATTGATGCCAAATCTTCAGCCAGAAAAGAAAAAACTTATTGATGCTAAAATTCTTGGAAGGCCAACTTTTGTGAAAATAGGGTCCTGTCCTGCCATGAACTTATTCCCGTATGACTTAGTGGGTAAAATACTAAAATCCCTTTTCGCTATAGGGAGCTGCAGATATTTATCAAAGCATTTTTTTTTTTTTTCAAAAAATATTCAGTTCTTAATCATTTGTCCATTTGGGAGAGCAAAATGCAGAGCCCAAGGTTATCTAGATTTTGAATTTCTGGGCTGTTTAGTTGGAGATTTAATACTCTAAGGGAATCTTGCCATGTGAAGATTTTAACCCTACCTCATGGTCAGAGTTGAACCCCGAACAATGTATCACAGAAGTCCTATATTGCTCAATTAATTGGAGCTGGATTTATTTGGTGGTAAGAATGTACAATTTTAAAGATATGATACCATCCAGGTGAAGTACAAGTTCATGCAGCCTCCCCAAGGCCACCTGTTAAAGATCATTGGCTAAGTAAAATCATCACAATGTGGAGCATGCTCAAAAGCTTGGCTATGGACTTGAACAGTAAAATGATGCATTGAGTTCATGAATTTATACCCTGGGTGCTTTGCATTGTTGTCCTGCAATTCGGTTTCCTGCACGTTCTGGGAAGTTTGCTAATTTCTTTTTTGAACGGATTGCTAATTTTATTTAAAATATTTGGATAGCAGGAAAATTTGTCCTTTTTTTTTGGTATTATGAATTGAAAAATTTGGCTCGAAATTCTTTTTAGGAACTCTTGATATAACATGGAGTTTCAGATATTTTATGTATGAATAATTCACTTTCCTATTTGTTCCAGATTCAGAAGGAGCCTAAGTTCGTCTATACAGTTGAAATGGATGCTAATAAACTTCTAAGTCTGGAACCTCGGACTTGGGACTTCATTTCTCGATTGGAACCCAAAGTTGGGCTAATAGAGCATATGCCTCATGAGAGAGTTTCTGGTGATTTAATTCGTATAATACATGATACAAGAAAGATCAATGAAGCTGCAGCTTTGATAGAAAATGGCCAAAGCATTACTTGGGAGGGTCATACAAGTTTCCAACTACTAGTAAACCAAAAGTTGCTGTTGTTGGTAGTGGGCCATCAGGCTTGTTTGCATCTCTTGTCCTTGCAGAATTTGGTGCGGATGTCACGTTATTTGAAAGAGGTCAAGCAGTTGAACAAAGAGGGCGTGATATTGGTGCTTTGGTAGTTCGGAGGATTTTACAATTGGAAAGCAATTTTTGTTTTGGGGAGGTTATATCTTTATGCACTTAGTACATTTAAGGTTTTTCTAGTATTGCAATTCTCCACATTATCATTTCTGCCTTGTTCTACTATCTTGCAACTATCTGTCATGGAAAATTGTATATTAATTGGAGCAATGCTATGAGATTCTATGCCATGGATTTGCACACACGTTAATGAAAAATCTGTAAGAGTACCACAAAAAGGATAGAAGAAAATGAGGTGTTGAGATAATTGAACAGAGCATGGATAGCCTCCTTAGAACATCCAAAATAAGATAGGATAGTTTTTGGACTGTTCTCCAGACTTGGTTTTCCAATAAGAAAACATTGGTCATTGTTAATCTTTTACTCAACAGGATTCTGTTATCGAAAATTGTTCATATAAACAAGCAATGTTAGCCATAGGCCAGCAAAATGGTGATAGATAGGTCATGTTTAAAAGATAATGTCTAAGAAGTTCTTAAAATATTTCTCATTGATCAATAGTAGGGGGAAAAGTGAAATTTTTTTATATGAGTTGTACGTCAACAATTCTTTACTATTTGTTCTTTTAGCAAATAATTTTTTTTAAATTTAATGTTTTGTAATTTTTAGTTTTTCATTTGCTTGGCATGGGTTAAAGGAAAAAGGAGGGTTTGAACTTAGGTGTGATTGGTCACGCAGCAAGAATCAATTGACCCTTTGTTATTATGGCTTTATGTGTTGTTGCACCCACTATGCAAAACTCATTGTAAATGCAGGTATTAGCATTGAATTGCCTGTATGTTGCTAATTAGAAGTTTTATGTACTCAAATGGAAGAATATCATGGTTTTGTGTTTTAAGATTACAGTTTGATCTGAAATGCATGCATATCCTTAGGGATATGGTTCATATACTTTCCATATGTGGGTATTACCAGCCTTAATTTGATTTTTGATATCTATTTATTAAGGACTTAAAGTTGACAGGGTGGTGCAGGTACTTGGAGTGATGGAAAGCTAGTAACTAGAATTGGCAGAAACAGTGATAGTGTTCTGGCGGTGAGCATCCTTTCTTCACACTAGCAACTTAAGTTTCTTTTATGTAGTGGTATTTATTCTCTTACATTTTCAGGATCGGTTTCTACTTGCTTCATTCCAATTTTATTGTCTTTATGGACTGGTGCCCATTCAGGTTATGAAAACTTTAGTTCACTTTGGAGCTCCAGAGAATATCTTGGTTGATGGAAAGCCTCATTTGGGAACTGATAGATTGATTCCACTGCTTCAAAACTTTAGGCGACATCTAGAAGGGTTGGGTGTGAGTCACGTACCTAATTTCTTGCGATTAGAAAGAATTGTTGTTTTAGTAGCACTTGAGCTATTAATATCTGTTTGGTAATTTCATGCATGTTGTTTATTGTCATCTACATGCTTAGGTTACCATCAGGTTTGGGACTAGGGTTGATGATCTGCTTGTAGAAGATAAGTGTGTTGTGGGAGTTGAAGTTTCAGATTCAGAAGACAATTTAAAGGTTAATACCCAGAAGTTGGGATATGATGCAGTTGTTCTTGCAGTTGGGCACTCTGCACGTGATATATATCAAATGCTCCTTTCTCATAATGCGAACCTGGTTCCAAAAGATTTTTCTGTGAGTTCCTATTCAAATTAGGTAAACTAGACATTTTTTGTTCTAATCTTCTTTCATTCATAGCTGCATCCGCACCTTTGTGTATGTCTATATGTGCCAAGCTACATTTTAGATTAATTTCTTCTCAGCTCGTCCCCAAGCTAACAGTAGATCTAGAAAAATATTAACCAGATGGACCTGGCCAAAAATAATGATTTTGGTTGGCAATGATTGCAAAAATGGTTGTATGCAAGTATAACTGAGCAGATTATTAAGGCATGCGTCAGCCAGGCTCCAGATTAAGAAGCCGTGGTGGGGTGGCATGGACAGCTGCCTCAGCCCGTTATGTTGGATCAATACTATTCATTAATGAGAGAAAAGAGTGGCGTGAAAGAAACAAATGTAGACAGATCTACTGCTCGCAATATTAAGGAAGGGTCCTGAGGGCTACAAGAAGGTTAAAATGACAATGAAAAATGGAACAGCATGATAACATCACCTGTTGCATACATCTAAACCTAGCTTCTGCTCCCCTCATTGTAAATAAGTAATCATAAATGATTAATTGATGCAGAAAAAGGTCTCTCCATGTTCTATTCATCATGAACATGACAAGAGCATCCCAACTAAAGAATGTTAAAAATGATTGTTAATTTGATCCCAGCAACCTATTCCAAATGAAGGCTTTATTAAGTTTGGAACTTGAAATATTTTACATGCATTATTAAGTTTGGAACTTGAAATATTATACACAAACATATTTACTATTTCAAAAACCCCAATCTTACCCGGCCCAACTTCTTTGCATGAACCAGGAACTTCATTATTCAAAATAAACTTGTGCATGAGTGAGAATGATTTTAGAGAGAGCTACAACTTAGTTCATATCTCAACCTTGTTGTTTCTTCGGTATAGTTTATCAAAATTCAGGTCCAACTGAGGTATTCATATTCGATCAAATTTTGGTTTTTCAATGGATTTTGGTATAGTTTATGACAGTAAATTTATCGAATATCCGAAGCAAATTGGATCCTAATTTTCTAAGGGTAAGACCAGAGCACCCCAACTAAAGAATATTGAAAATGGTTGTTAAGTGGAAACCCAATAACCTATACAACATCAAGGCATTGTTTAAGTTTGCAACTTGAAATATTGTACACAAACATAATACCATTCAATGTCTCCTTTTTTAGTCTAACTTAAAAGTAAAATCGAATTAATATCGACTTAAAAAGTAAACTCTATTTTAAGACACCATTTGAACATTGAAAAAAGTTTTACTTGTGCGCAACCTTACTACGTACGGGGTGCATGTTAGTGTCTCAACCGGTAACCAAAATCACGTGGTGAATTTATGTAATTAATATGGGTTTGGTACCTTCTATATATGATCGTCAATAATAATGAATCAGAACTGGAATCCAATTTGAATCTGATTTGTCAGATATGGATTGTTTACGATTCAGATTTAGAATACTAAAATTAAATGTAATCGTGATTCAATCTAAATTATATACAGATGTAAACATAGGATAAAGTTAGTTGATTATTTGATGAAATTGAAATAATTTCTGATATATTTATTAGAATTCATATCAGCTGAGTTATTTATAATAGATCAAATTGGTTTTAACAGATTCAAGTGTAGTCCATGAAGATAAAATTGATAAACCATCGTCTCCTTTTGTGTGGAAATCACACTTATGGTGTAGCCTTTTTGGGTTGATCTTTAAAGTTGGTGGGATTATTATGCCCTGATATGCCCTCATGTAGTGATATGAGAAAGTATTGGTATTCTTATGATGACTTAATGTCTTGTATATTAACAGGTTGGTTTGCGGATTGAGCATCCTCAAGAATTAATAAACAACATCCAGGTTGGTCGATTACTCCATCCCTTTGGAGGGATATCATACTGATTGATCTTGTTAACTCTTCTGCATATATTATTAATTGTAAAGACATTTTTTGGCTGATATTATTCTGGTTTACAGATTCTTCTTCTAATTGCAACTATTATGAACTAAAATATTTATTATTCTTTATGTTAAGTTTCTCAACTTTTATCGCAAAAACTATTGTACTAATGCCATTGACTAATTGATAAGCAGGATTGAATGGTCCACAGTTCTTATACACCAGCAAACTATAACATCTAATACTAGGTGATGTAATACTAAGGTAAATGATATATTTTGGACGGGAGATATTGTTAGAGGATGTATGATAGTACGACACAGAATAACATGGTTC